GGGTGAGCCATCAAGATCACTAATACCCCTAAGTCTCGCTCTTCTAATCATTCCAAAACATGAGTACTACATTGATACCTTCAGCCTCAAATCTGTTCTCAATTCAATATGTCGAATGCTCCTGGGACTGGAATCTGAGGACCCCCATTCAAACATCTCACAGCAGTGTCTACTTCTCAAACTGCAGCCCAACTCCCCCCCATATCTGATGCCTAGACCCCCAATTTTTGGTGCTGAGCTAAAAAATCTTCATATCAGACCTGGGGCCCCAATCTGGATGCACACTCCCTTGGCCCAGTAACAAAAGTCCTCCATGCCAGCATGTCCCCCCACCTGCTTCCTCTCCAGGCTGGCCGGCTGCTGTGGAACAGGAGTGTATTCACAGCTGGTCTACTTCACTCCCCACCCGTTCTTCCACACATTTTGCGGGAGATGTAAGTGTCCAAACTGACTCTTGGCCTCAGCTGGGGTATGGAGAGGAGATGGGAAAGTCGGGAAACCTGGAAGTCTGCTGACCTCAAGGCTATGATGTAGGACTGCCAGGTGGGGACTGAATTTTGCAGATGAGGGTGAGGCTCAGGCCTTCCAGGCCCTGGTGCAGGAAGAAGATACAAAAAGGAATCAGAGGCCAAGTGGAGGTAAGAAGGCCTTGGGGGAGGATGGAAGTGGGCAGAGGTGGACGCACGGGGAGGGGACTAGAAAAGCGCTTCTCATGGTTCTGGCTCCAATCCACCTGTGTAGCACAGACAGACCAGCTACCCGCCACAACCAGCACCAGCCAATGAAGGTGAGTCCTTTAGGCAAGTAGGGGTAATAAGGGACTAGCCCAGGAACCTGAGGTAGGCTCAGTGACAGTTCTCAACTCATTCCATTTTCCCAGAGAGAAGAGGAGGGCTCCCACCCCTGCCCCCACATCCAGGCGGAGACCAAGGGGGTGAGTGGTGATTCTTTCATGTGTCTCTGGATGGATGGGTGGGTGGGGAATGGGTAGATGGATGAGTAGTTGGGTGGGTACACAAGTGGGTAAAAGGGTGGGTGGATGGTCAGATGGATAGATAAATGGGTGAGTGGGTGCATGGATTGGTGGCTAAGTGGGATGAACTGATGGGAAGTTGAAAGAATAAATAGATGTATAGGTGGGTTATAGATAGATAGGTGAATGGGTATGTGGCTAGGTGGATGAATACATGGATGAATGATTGAGTGAATTAGTGAATGAACAGTGAATAAATGAATAAATGACATAATATTCTAGCCAGTGAAGAAAGCAGTGATTAAATGAATGATTGGTAAGTGAATTATTTAACAAATGAATTACCCAAAAAGCCAGGGAATGAATGAGTCCATACTTAAGTGATAAGCATGAGTGACTGCATAAAATGAAAGAATTAGTGAATGTATGAATGGTTTTGGGGTCCATCCACTTCTACATGTACCTTACGTAGACCCCCTCATCCACTCTCTCTGTGACCATCAAACACATACACCAAAAGTCTTCCCATTTCTTTTCCCTATGCTGTGACTGGCAGGTCAATGGTCCATTCATCCTATTTTGCCCACAGGTCCACCAGCTGGCCCACTGTCCCTAGGACTAGTGACAGTAGACATTCAGAACCCTGACATCACAAGTTCACGATACCGGGGGCTCCCAGCACCTGGCCCTGGCCCAACTGATAAGAAACGCTCAGGGAAGAAGAAGATCAGCAAGGCTGATATTGGTGCGCCCAGTGGATTCAAGTGAGGACCTCTCCCCTGTAGCCCACAGACCCTAGGGATGGGGAGGGCATAGGAAAAAGTGGACAGCTGAGTGGATAGAAGGATGGGTGGCAGATGAGTGGATGGGGAGAAGATAGATGAATGGATGAATGAATGAATTAAAGGGTTGAAGAAAGAATGGGTAGGTGATTGGATGGATGGGTGGATGGATAGTAGATTAATGTATGAACAGGTTGATATGTAGGCTGATTGGTTCACAGACAAGGTGAGTGGGGATGGGTAGATAGCCAGGTATGTGGATGAACCGACAGTTCATGAATGGATAAGTGACTAGAGGTATGTGATTGAATGGCTAGAAAAATGAGTGGATGAGTGGAAAGGTAGACACGTGCGTAGAGGTGGGGTGGTTGGACACTGCGTGAATGCAGATTGGTGGAAAAATGAGTAAACAGATGTGTGAGCAGATGGTTGGAGGGACAGATGTATGGACAGATCAGTGGTCCAATGAATCTGAATGGATGGGTGGAGAAAGGAATGAGTAGATGGATAGTGGAAAGAGGGAGAGGTGGACAACTGGACACCACACACTATAGACCCCTTCTAATGTCGTAACTCGTGCTCACATTCGTTCACTCATTCCAGCCCCTCAGAGCCCCCTGGGCAGTAGAGGGCTGGAGCTTCACTAGGAAGGGGGGGCAGCAGGGCTTCATTGTGGTCTCCTCACATTCCCCAGACACGTCAGCCACGTGGGCTGGGACCCCCACAATGGATTTGATGTGAGTAATTCAAAGTCCCCTGGACCCCACTCAGCTTCCACCCATCCTTCCATATACTACTGCTCAGACCCCGCCCCCACCCCTGCCTTTCCCACATCCCTCTCAGATCCCTTGCTGGGATGGATCCAGTGGTAATCTGTGTCCCCTCATCCCCCCTCCCCAACCCTCCTGGCCTTTTTCCATCTTGGGCAGGTGAACAACCTAGACCCGGATCTGCGGAACCTGTTCTCCAGGGCTGGAATCAGCGAGGCCCAGCTCACCGATGCTGAGACCTCCAAGCTTATCTACGACTTCATTGAGGACCAGGGTGGACTGGAGGCTGTGAGGCAAGAGATGAGGCGCCAGGGTGAGCCCCCTTCTTCTCCAGCCTGGCAGTTGATACCTCAGAGATACCTGGAAGTCACTCAGTTGTCATGGAAACGCCTATCTATACTGCTTGAATAGGGAGTTGACCAGTTGGGGCAGCCATTTTACCAACGAGCTCAGGAAAAAAAAATGAGTGAATATTATCACACCTGTGTTATTTTTCCCACACAGAGCCCCTTCCACCACCCCCACCACCATGCCGAGGAGGAAACCAGCCCCCCCGGCCCCCTATTGTGGGGGGCAACAAGGGTCGTTCTGGGCCACTGCCACCTGTACCTTTGGGAGGTGCCCCGCCTCCACCAACACCTCGGGGACCCCCACCCCCAGGCCGAGGGGGCCCTCCACCACCACCCCCTCCAGCCACTGGACGTTGTGGACTACCACCTCCTCCACCCCCTGGAGCTGGGGGAGTGCCTATGCCACCACCCCCACCCCCACCCCCACCCCCACCCCCACCCAGTTCTGGGGGTGGACCAGTTCCTCCCCCACCCCCTCCTACTCTGGTGACTGGGGGGGGCCTGGCCCCTGGTGGGGGCCGGGGGGCACTTTTGGATCAAATCCGGCAGGGAATTCAGCTGAACAAGGTAAGGATAGACAAGATGTATTATCGGGGGTCTAGAACTCTGGGTGTTGTGTGCAAGTCAAGATATTGAGAGCCAAGGCTAAGACTGATTGGAGTGCCAGGCTTTTGGGGTGCAGTGATAAAGTTGGAGATTGATGGGGAACCTTGGATTGGAGCGTGGGGAGGAGAATGGAAAAGGAAAGGGTGGGGAGAAATGCTCCTCTCACAGGCCTGTGTTCAACACTGTTTGCTGCAGACCCCTGGAGGCTTTGAGAGCCCACAGCAGCCTCCTCCTCAGAGCTCCGAGGGGCTGGTGGGTGCACTGATGCACGTGATGGAGAAAAGGAGCAGAGTCATCCACTCCTCAGGTGAGCCTGTCAGCCCAGGACACAGCCTCAGACATTGCTATCCATAGTGATACCAGGGCTGGGGTGGCTCAGTGGTAGAACACTTGCTGTTATGCTCAAGGCCCTGGGTTCCATCCCCGGCACAGCAAAAAACCAACCAACCAAACAAACAAACAAAGAAATAGTGAGGCTTACCACATCTGTTTTTGTTTTTGTTTTTCCAGTACTGGGATTTTAACTCAGGGCCTTCACCTTGAGCCACTCCACCAGCCCTTTTTTGTGAGGGGTTTTTTTGAGATAGGGTCTCTTGAACTATTTGCCTGGCCTGGCTTTGAACCATGATCCTCCTGATCGCTGCTTCCTGAGTAGTTAGAATTACAGGCGTGAGCCACTGGTGCCCACCTTGGTCTATCTTTTTAAAGTGCATTCTTGACAATAATATTAATGTTAGTGTCGGGCATGTCCACGATACCGACATTACTCTCATATGTTCAGTGCTAGTAACATAAGCCCACTGGCTCGTGATAATGTTACAGAGAACCCCACCCCATATCTGCAGAAATACCAACTTCGATTCCATACATTAACAGATTTACATTAATTCATCATGTGATAATAATATCAATATCTAAACCAGTCTTTTGACAATACTGTTAACATTAGTGTGTCAACAGTACTGTCATTAACCCATTAGAGAAGGGCAATATATATCTCAGCCTATTATGTGACAATAACAGTGAACTTCAGCTTTGACAATAATAGTAACATTAACCCCAAAATGTGTCTGTAAGATTAATGTGAATCCATTATATGACAATATTATCACAAGTCTAATCTTTTGACAATGACGTTATCATTAATCCCACTAAGGGTCAACAATGTTAACGTTGATTCACCATGAAACAATAATAAATCACCCCACCTTTGCTAATAATATTTAAATTTCCTTATTAAGTGACAGAGGAAATTACTGTTAACCCTTGGTGTAACAATAATATCCTAACTAACCACATTTGAATTTTATTGTTGTTTTGTGTTTTGAGACGGAGTCTCACTGTATAGCCCAGACTGACCTCAAACTCCAGATTCTCTTGCCTCAGCCACCTGACTGCTGGGGCTACAGGCATGCACCTCCATGCCTGGATACTACCCCATTTTTTATAATACTATATTGACTTCAACTCCAACTAGAGCCCAGACCCAGAATGCAATATCTATTTTGCCTAAACTCTACCTTCCCCCAGAGTGGAACCCTCACCTCCTAGGCCTGAGGACTCTCCCAGAGCCTTTGAGCTCACCTGTCACACTCTCCATCTCTCTCTCTCCCTCCAGACGAAGGAGAAGACCAAGCAGGGGATGAAGATGAGGATGACGAATGGGATGACTGAGCTGCAGCCCATGCTTCTCCCTGTGGGCCTGTGGCTCCCATGCCACCAGCTCTGCGCCCAGCTTCCAGGCCCCAGCCTCCAAAGCTTTCACCCTTGCTTGGCCCCCCCATGCTTGCAATGCCCAGGGCCCTTTTATACAAAAGTTTTCAGTTCTCTTCACTCAAGGATTTTTAAATAATAAAACAATTTCCCTCACCTCTCTAAATCTCAGTCGCTTCATTCTAAATGTTTGGGAATTTTGGGTCCTTTCCCTCGCCCAAGACTGGGGTTTGAACTTGGAGCCTCATGCTTGCCAGGCAGGCTTTCTACCACTTGAGCCACTCCACCAGCCTTTTTCTATATTGGGTATTTTTGAGATAGGGTCTCAACAGCTATTTGCCTGGGCTGGCTTTGAACCGTGATCCTCCTGATCTCTGCCTTCTGAGTAGCTAGGATTACAGGCGTGAACCACCAGCACCCAGCTCACTATCTCATTTTATTTATTTAGCCTTACATACATTTTCATTCATTCCATTTTGCCCTCAGTCATTTATCCTGTGTTTCTTTTCTTTCTTTATTTTGTTTTCTTTTCTCTTTGAGATGGGGATCTCACTATGTTGCCCAAGCTGGCCTGGAACTTGTGGGCTCAATCGATCCTCCTGCCCCAGCCTCCCAAGTAGCTGGGACCACAGGTGTCTACCATTGTGCCTGGCATTTCCTTGTGTTTCTTTATTTCCTTCTGTCTGTTCACAACATTTATTGCCAGGCAATATTTTATGGGCTAGGATGGAATGGCCCTAGAGACAAGGAACAAGAAATTAAAGTGAAATCAAAGATGGTCACAGGTGTTATGGGGTGCTGAGGAGACAGAAGGGAAACTTTTATTTTTTTTATGGTACTGGGGCTTAAACTCAGGGCCTTCACCTTGAGTCACTCCACCAGCCCAATTTTTTGTGATAGGGTTTTTCGAGATATGGTCTCGAGAACTATTTGCCCAGGCTGACTTCAATCTGTGATCCTCCTGATCTCTGCCTCCTGAGTAGCTAGGATTACAGGCGTGAGCCATCAGTGCCAGCAGGAAATTCTTAAAGGAGCAGTCAGGGAAAGCTGCTTGGAAGAGGTGACAGTTGTGCTGGATCTAAAGAGAGAGAAGGGTAGGCCAGGTGAACATTTGGAGGAAAGTCATTCCAGGTAGGGGAACAACCAGTGCAAAAATGCTGAGGTGACAAAAAAGCTTGGCACAAAGCTGAGTGGCAAATGAGTAGGAGTCATTTTTTAATTCATAATGGATGGTCAACCTCCACACCCCCACTCTCCATGCACACCCTCTTAACACCAGGATTCCGATAGGTCCCCCTTTAATACTAAAATCCATCTCTGCCCAGTTCTCAATGCAAATCAAGCCCTGAGCAATCACAGTGGACGAAGCAAAAAACAGTACCCGGACAGCATGGCGCCTGTAATCCTAGCTACTCAGGAGGCAGAGATCAGGAGGATCACGGTTCGAAGCCAGCCCTGGCAAATACCTCAAACGTACCCATCACAGAATAGAACTGGCAGAGTGGCTCAAGTGGTAGAGTGCCTGCCTAACACGTGTGAGGCCCTGAGTTCAAACCCCAGTACCACCAAAAAAAATACATAAATAACCATACAAATTTGCTCCAGAACCCAGTCTCAGTCTCTTCACCTATGCAATAGAATAACAACATGTAACGGATTTTGGATTTCAAACTGAGATACTCTTGGGTTCCTCCTCCTCCTCTACCTCTTCTTCCTTCTCCTCTCCCTTCCCTTCACTCAAAATTGTCCCTGGAGTTTCACCAATTTCCAAGGGAGCAATTAGAAACTTTTGCACATCAAAGAGTGCAAGAATTGAGGTCCGCACCCCTTCCCACAGTTGAGGAGGATGAGGGGTTAGTAAAGGAAAGGGGAGGATGATAAAGACCAAGGCAACAGGCCTAGAGAGATCAAGGAACTTGCTTTTAGTCAGTGTGTGTGTGTTGCTAGACAAGGAACCCAGGGCCTCATGCATGCTAGGCAAGCGCTCTACCACTGAGCCACACCCCAGACTCTTGCTATTCATTCTTTTACTCCAAGTAAAAGAACTTTCCTGTGAGGGGAATCCAGAGAGGTTGCCTTTTCAATCTACAAGATCAGTGAAAAAATTCAGAATCGAGGCGTGTGTAGGAAGGAAGCAGCCGCACTGAAGGTGTGGTGAGAGAGTGGGAGCTGGCCTGGCCACATAAAGGATTGCCTGGGAAGGTAGAATCCCCCCTAGCTGGAGAGGGAGGAAGTCTCAGGTTCCTGAACGCTTTTGTGATTCTTCACCCCTACCCTGCTCTCCACCCCAGACAATTCCCAGGGCACTGGGTCTAGGAAGGGCCTTGCAACATCACTTATCCCCTCTCTAAGTCACCCACATAAACCCTAAAAATCCAGTGTTCTGGGATTCTTTCTACAGGCTTTGTCCTGGAAAAGACCCCCCCACACCCATGCTCGACCTCGGAATTCCCATGAGCACTGCCCATAGCAGGCACAGATTTGAGTATAAGGATTGACTGAGGGGCTGGGGGTGTAGCTTAATGGTAAAGCCCTTGCCTAGCAAGCTAGAAGTTCAGAGTTCCATCCACAGCCTGGCAAAAGAAAAGATGGGATGAATTGGGCGCCTGTAATCCTACTCAGGGGGCAGAGATCAGAAGAATTGCAGTTGGAAGCCAGCCTGGGCAAATAGTTTTCGAGACCCTATCTCGAAAAAACAATCACAAAAAAGGGCTGGTGGAGTGGCTCAAGGTGTAGGCCCTGAGTTCAAACCCCAGTACAGCAAAGAAAAAAACAGAGAGGAGAGGGGAGGGGAGAGGAGAGGAAAAAGGAAAGGAGAAAGAAATGGCGCAAATTGCCTGACCTCCATGCCTCAGTTTCCTCAGCCTTTAAAATGAGGGTAAAAATGTTTACCTACCAGGGCTGTGACAGGTTCTTGTACTAAGTGGCTGCACCTTGTAGGCTCTATAAATGGTATTGTCAATATCATTGTTGTGTACTGGAGTTAATTGACTCTGAATCACCACTGATTGAAAAACGTACTATTATTTTATGTATCACTAAGAAAGGAGAAAAAAGCACTGCCATTTAAATTATGACTTCAAGATACAAAAAAAATTAAATGCTTTATTTATTTATTTATTAATATTTATTTATTTTTGCAGTGCTGAGGCTTAAACTCAGGGCCTTGAGCTTTCTAGACAGGCACTCTACCACTTGAGCCACTCCACCAGTCCCCAAAATTAAACGCTTTCTAAACCCTTCTGGTTCTGCATGCAACATAATACATGACATTGTAACATACTCTGTTACAATGGTCTGTGTACCTTTCTGTACATATGTTACATTCCAATATGAGGTTTACATTAACATAGATCCAAACTGTGTGGTTTGGAACAGAAAAAACCTTGTGTTGGCCCCCTCATTGGGTAAGGCAGTATACACAGTAGGTGCTTCATTAATGCTGAATGAACAAATGGTTGGGAGGGGCTCATGGGAATAACAGGATGACCTCTTTGGAGGTCTCCTGAAAAGATCCTGGTCTAGAAAAACTCATCCTCTACATGAGTGGAAGACACCCACCCCAAGGTCATTCATCGGCTGAAGAAACTGTCCAAGTTCATATAGCTCGTAAATGGTGGAGCCAGGATTTGTTCTTTTGGTTTGGTTTCGTTTTGGTTGGCAGTATTGAGCTTTGAACTCAATACTCTGCCTCTTGAGCCACGCCCCAGCCCAAAGTTCCCCTCCCCCTAGCATCTGACAGTTCTAGAAGGGATGAGGGAAGGAAAGGGCTGCAGGGTGGGACTATTGCACTTACAGCAAGCAGCAACAGATGGAACTCACAGCTGGGCTGACAGGGAGACAGAATATCTGGTTGACTGTACAACTCATGGCATGATGGGAGAGGGACAGTTCGAGGAACTGACAGCGCAGTGTCCTGATGCCTCAAGGGAGTGAACATCCAACTGAATGACAACCTGCCTCGGACTGGCTGCAGGGAACACAGGCAGCCTTACAGGACTGGCTGGCTGATGACCCATGACACTGCCCCTGGGCTGGGTGGCCAGATGTTGTGATTGGGTAGCTATTGCTAGGAATCATAGCTGGCCTGAGGAACGTGATACCGAATGGCCCTGTGTAAGGGAGTGTAGCTGAGGGAAAAACCCTCTAGCTTCATTTGCTTTTTTTTTTTTTTTTTTT